CACATGTGGGTCCTTTTCCCTTTTTATGATCTCCTTGGGTTATAGACCTAGTAGTGGTATTGCTGGATCAAACGGCATGCATAGTTTTCTAGTCCTTGGGCATAATTCCAAATTGCTCTCTGGAATGATTGGATCAGTTCACAACTCCACCAACAATGCATTGAAGTTCCAATTTCCCTGTATCTTCTCCAACATTTATCATTTTCCTTTTTTGTCACATTAGCCAATCTGGTAGGTGTGATGTGGTACCTCAGACCAACCAGTTTTGTTTTCTCTGTCCGTCTCAGCTATGGTCTCTTCATCTGACTTTCTCTGCTCTTCTTGTGACATGCCAGGTCCAAAGATGTGAACTATAAAGCTTAATTGGCCTAGAGATGGAGAGAATCACAGAGGCAATCTAGTCCAACCCTTTCATTTTTCAGAAGAGGAAACTGAGACCCAATGGGGTTAAATGACTTACCTAAGGTCACACAGGTAGCAAACATCAGAGGATAGATTTGGAACCTAGGTCTTCTGACTCCAGAGTCAATGACCTTTCCATTGTACCTTATAATCCTTAATTCAGTATAAAGTAAGCTCATTCAGGGCAGGTATTATTTCACTTTTGTGTTTGTCTTCCCAGAATCTGGTATGATTGTTCCTGGCACATAGAAGGTACTTAATAAAAATAGCTAGCATTTATATAGGCTTTAAGATTTTCAAAGAATTTTACATAGCTCACTTAATTAAATGCTTGTAGGGGCAGCTAGGTGGTACAGTGGATAGAGCACCGACCCTGGATTCAGGAGGACCTGAGTTCAAATCTGGCCTCAGACACATAACACTAGTTGTATAACCCTGGGCAAGTCACTTAACCTCATTGCCTAGCCCCCCCAAAATAAATAAATGCTTGTAGATGGGTTTTTTTTTACATCGAGAAAGGCAGTAACCAGAGCCAGGTGAGTTCATAGCTTATCAAAGAGTTAAAGAATGATTCAGGAGGGTCTCACCAGGCGCCTTCTTATCATGCCCCAGCTGTAATTTCCTAGTAAAAGACCCAGGGAGGGAAGTAGAATGTTGGATAAGGAGAATTGATTAGGTAAATCAATGAATTCACTTATGATTCTGCTCTATGAGGCACAGTGCAGATTTCGGTAACATTTTGCGTTTTATAACCACCTGGCATCATAGACACTGCAGGTATTATTAACCAGATTTTGCAGAAAAGGAAACTGAGGCCTGGATGATTTAAATGAGTTGTCTTTGGTCACAGCAGAAGTTGCGCCAGCGGCCAAAATTCAGATCTAATTTTTCTATCTGTATGTCTAGAGCCTTTCCTACCACCCCAACACTGCTGGAAATCTGGGGTCAAGAAGACCTGAATTCAAATCAGACAGCTGTGTAACCTCTGTCTACCTCAGTTTCCAAATCTACTTTATAGGATAAGTTGTAAGGATCAAATGAGATATTTGTAAAACATTTAGTGCAGTGCTTGGCATACAGAGGTACTTAATAGATGTTTTTTCTCTCCCCTCTCCCTGGAAGGAGCACTAGGTTCCAAGTTCATCTCTGTAATAACTAGTTATGTGGCCCTCAGCAAGTCACTTCCACTCCCTTGGCCTCAGTTTCCCCACCTGTAAAATGTGAGAGTTGTACTAGATAATCTCTAATGTCCCTGTTGGACTTTAAGATGTCCTGACCCTGTGATTATCTCTGGAAAAGTCGCATTACCTCTCTGGGTCTCAGTTTCCTTACCTGAAAATAAGGAAGTTGGACCAATTGTATCCCTTTAGGTTCTGATGTTCTATAATTGGTTCTTCAGAATTTTTGAGACGTCTCACCTCAGGAAAGAATAGTTATCCAGTTCACTACTGAGAGTTGTGGTTAGAGTTTTGTTTATCAACTCTAATCATTTATTTGTATGATTTAATCTCTTCTGCCATCATTAGTCATTAGTGTCAAGAGTAAAAGAAAAAATACGTTTGACTTTCACAGTTGTGAAGTTCAGCTCGGCTCAATAAATGTCTTTCACACACTGACACTAGGGATCAAAACACAGGCTATCACTTAATTTAACAAATAATTACCCTTCTGTAACAGAGGGATAAACAGAATTCCATCTTATGAATTGCTAATTGTTCTTCGCTCGGGGGATGATAGTTCTTGTTTAAGTCTTTAGTGATAAAGATATGGATAACTGCAGCTGGAATCACCTTCAGGATCATTTGTTCAAACTTCTCCTTGTATAGATGAGTGAAATGAGGCCCAGGAGGATGTGACTTGACGTACCCAAGATATGGTAAAAGAATTTGGCCAGAAGGAGGCAGGGTGAAATCTTCAAAAAGTCCGTGGTGTCTTATTTACCTAAACCAGTGGGGCCACATTGCATGCTAACTCAACTATCTAATGCGTGCCATTTCTTCCTTCTAGGCAAGGGAAAGACGAGAGAGATTGTCAGTTAGAAAGGGATATTTAAGAAATAGAGAGAGGGCTCAGCTGGTGGGGAATGAGGGAAAGTGGTAACAAAAATAATAGTTCTAATAGTTTTAGCTTGCATCATTTGATCTAGGGAAGGGGTGAGGTCTTAAGGGAACATGTGGCCTTCTAGATCCTTAAGTGTGACCTGTTGACTGAATGGGATCCAGTCAAAGAATCTAGATCTTAAGGATCTAGAAGGCCACATGTGACCTTAAGGCCACAGGTTCCCCACCCCTGATCTATCGGGAAGGGTGCCGGACCAGGAAGGAGCCAGAAGAACTGGTTCTAGTCTTGTCTCTGTCCATGCTCAAGTCTCTTCGCCTCTCTGAGATTCCTCATCTGCAACATCAAGTAGAGTAGGTCATAGAAAGGTGACCTCAGAGCCAAAAAGACTTGGATTCAAGCCCAGTTTCAGATTTTTGCATCTGTTGTCAAATATAGTCACTATGTTTTGCTAAACTTTTTTCTTCGTTATAAGAGGGTTGTATGGGGGTATGATTATTGGAAGTAGCTTTGCAGTAAAAAAAAATGCAAAATATTTATAATGTATTTTTAAAAGCAAGAAATGCATGTTACAACTCGCTATCTCCCCATCCTTGGGATCACTTTGAATTGTGTTCCTGGTCATTCTTCAACTCATCATGCTCCTTTCAGAGTTTTCTGTTCTTTTCCCTACACTGAAATGTCAGTTTTTTTTTAATTGGTTTGCTCCTCTCTTCTTTCTCTTGTATTTGCCTCTTTCATTCAAGAAGTAAGAAAGAGAGTCCCAGGTTTTAATCTTTTTCCTTTCAGTTCGTAGAGAAGAAAAGTCAACAGAAGGTTTTGGCCCTTCTTTCTCTTCCAATGTCTTTTCTTACCTCTCCAATCCAAGTGGAAGATGCTATTCTATCTTGCTCTATCAGTATTTTGCTTCTCCAGGTCCCTAGGCTAGAACCACTAGAGAAAGTCTGGTACAGAGGAGAGAAGGTCTGCCTTGCAGACAGAAAAACCAGGATTCAAATTTTGCCTCTCACATACCTATGAACTTTGGTACCTACTCTGAGCAAACCATTTAACTTGTAGTGCTTCTGGCACTTTTCTAAAGTGATGTTACCAGCAACTTGACTTGGTAGTCTTATCAATAGAGGGAGTTTCCACACAGGGAGTTCTTGGCACTGCTAAAATCACTGGCCCAGCCCCCCTCCTCCCAATAAAATTCCCAGTGTCCCCTCAATCCCTCCAAAGTTTCTTGCCCACCTTGATTGTCTTTCACTCTGTTTTTCAGCCTTTCATGCTCCATAGCTCTGATCCAAAAGATCCATGTGTCTGCCATCTATGTGATATTTCAAAATTGACTTTGATTTCCTCTTTATATCAGAATACTAGGTATTGCCAATGAACTTTTCAAATTCTTGAAATAAAACATTTGCCAACATACGTGTCTTGTTTTTAAAGTAATATTTTATTAGAATAAGTCAAACCAGAAAACCCCATGCTCCATCATTTTTCGAGTTTGCCTGGGATGCCCAGAAGTCAGGCTTCCACATTTCTCTAGCACTAAGCCCTTTGGGCCTCTATATACCAGCACTGAAACAACAGAGGAAGTGATGCTCACTTTGGGGCATCTGCTGTCTTTCCACCTAATGTTTAAGACTGGACATTTGGTCAGAAAAGCCCATATTATTTCCAGATTTCTTGGACATGAGGAGAACTTCTTTCTTTACTGGCCTTCAAAAAACCACTGAGCTAATTCCTTAAAGACTCATTATAATCAGATCATCTAAAACCAAAACTTTCCTCTTGAAGTCTCACGTGACTATTTGCTTTTCAAGAGCAGCCAGGCCTGAGGTATCTTCATGCCTCCAAAGGCACAGGTCAGCTGGTTGAATCAAATAGCCACCTCATTCTCATGTCCCAACAACGTGCTGTGAGCTGTCTGTCATAAGCAGAGGCTGAAATTTTCTCTTTCCTCTCCCCCAACCCTCCCCACCCCCAAGCCCTTTACTCCTTGCTTTTGGAAAGGCACTAAAGTCTATTCCCCTCCCCCTCCCTCACACTTTTGCTGCTGTTAATCATAGATTTATGTTGGAATTGAATGGACAGGTGGCTGGACAGGGGCTTGGGCACATTCTCCTACCATGTGGATTGCAACCTGTGCTTGCTGAATTTCATTAGAGAGGATACAAAAACATCTCCTTTGGAGCCAAGAGGGAATTAAAATGTAAACCCTGGCAGGGAAGCTCATTCATCAGGCAAACGCAGGGAGGTGGGGGAGAGATCCATCCTTTCCTTGGAAGTCTTAGTGAGGACCTTGCTTTGCACTTAGCTGGCAGCTCACTGAACAAAGACCAGAATAAAAAAGAAAAACTCCTAATCGGGCGAAAGGAACCCAGTGGGGATGTGAAACCATGCCGAGCTGATAGGCTCTGGAGGTAGAGTGATTGGGCCTGGCTCTCCAAAATATGATTTGGCTTCTATTAGTTGGTTATGATTTAATTCAGCAAGCATTAATTAAGCACCTCCCATACTGATGCTGGGGAATACAAAGACGAACAACCAAAAGCAGTCCTTGCCCTCAAGGGGTTTATAGTCTGGGGGTGGGGAAAGGGAGGGATTTCGCATGCACACAGATAAGCAAATACCGGCTAATTGGAGGAATGGGAGAATATTAAAAAAAATTTTTTTTAAGTGAGGGGATGCTCAGGAAATGCTTTACATAGATGGTGGCCCTCTAGGGTGCTCTGAAGGAAGCTAGGGGTTGGTGAGGAAAAAATGGATTCCAGGCATGGGGCGGGTACGGAAAAGACTGGGTAAAAGGAGATAAAATGCTGGGCATTATTAAAATGCTCAGACCCTGAACTGAGTATTGTTTTCCAAAGCAATATGTGCAAATGTATATATCCCTTTAAAAAACAAAACAAAACAAAAACCTGCCCATCCTAATCCTCCCACCCACCCACAGTCAGCAAAAATCTCCAACAGCTAAAAAGCTGGATACTCAGGAGCAACTGGTAAAATACCTTTGAAGCCCTCCTCTTCCTCCTCCTCCTCCTCCCTCCTTCCATCTCTAATCAGGAGATTCAAATCCCCAATCTGAGTCAAGTGCTCCGGGAGAAGCAGACGGAGAGGACACATTGGCAGGCATGGATGTATCAGTGTCACCCTTGGAGATGTTACATTATTGACCCTTCCCTCCCCCCAATTCATTATTAAAAATTGCTGCTGTCAGAAGTTAAATTCAGTTGTATAATACGGAGGGATGATCATAAATTCTCATTTCTTCAGGCACCGGGGGGGTTACATGTGACAAGATTTCGATTCTCTTCGATTTATGCTTTTAATACATTTCCCAGCGTCTCCCCAGCTCTGTCTAATCAGCTGGGCTTGTATTCCTCCGCGATTCTCCACCAGCATTACTGGTAATTACCGGCGCAAGGTTCATGCCAGTGAATTCAGCTGGGATTGACCAGCAGTGTGTTCAAGCTTAAGTCCATAGCCGCCTAACCCAAGGTCCCCCTCGTAAATGTTTTCTTTGCTTGGAGTCTTTGGAGAGGCTTTTGGGTCCTGCTCCAACCCTGCAGAGGGGCTGGAGGGCAAGGGGGTTTGCTCCTGGAAGTTCATGGCCAGTTCGTCGTGAGTCACGATGCAGTCTGTGTCGTCCTCCTTCAGATGATCCTGGGGGGTTTGAAAAAGGTAAAGGGGTTCACAGTAAAAGCAGAACATATCCCGACCCACTCCCCCACTCCACCTCCCCTAGCGCTCAAAGAAACTCAAGGGGAGTTTTCCTTCCCTATAGACCAGAATGTTTGTTATGAGATCGACAAACTTCCCTTCTTTGGGAAGGATCCCCATTTCACTCTCCATGTGTAATGATTTCCATTTCTACCTCCATGGGTAATAGCATATGGCATTATCATCCTCATTAAAATGGATCCTTAAAACTCAACTTGTCAAAAAAAAAAAAAAAACAGGCAAGAAAGTAAAGTGTAGTACCATCCTATGGGAGTAGGAGACCACCTATGGGATACTTATAAATGAACAAGTATTTATTAAATGTCTCTGGGCTAGAATCTGAGGTAGGTGCTAGAAGTAAAAAACAAAAACAAAACTCTCCCTGTTCTCGAGAGACTTATTATATTTAGTAATTTCATTAGTATAACATGGGTAAAGCTGCTTAGAAGGTGGTTAAAATTGAGTCCACTGGACAAGTTTGACAATTGAGTGAACCATAAAATCTGAAAGTATTCCCCAGCAGGAAAGGGACTTTTTACCATGGACTGAAGAAGCTGAAAGGGGCAGGAGGTGGTGGTGTCACAATCTTGACATGGATTCCTCACTTCAGGATACCACAAAATCTATCTAAATATCTATCTATCTATGCACACACACAAATATCTGTTTGCTTTGATTTTAATGGATATATGCCATATACCATGCAGAGGACTTGGCAGTTCCAAAGCTGAAATAGTGTGTCTGAACTCTAAAAGAAGGCTGGGAATCACTATAGAGGAGCATTGAATGAATTTAGCTTAACCAGGACAGTATGGGAAATTGTGAGTTCTCCCAGATGTAAGTTCCCTTGGAATAAGGAATGAAGTTGAAAATTCCCCTGCCATGGATTCTAGAAAGGTCAAATGAAATGACCTTGGGGCTAAATTCCCTGACCAAGTAAATTTGATTTACTTCTAATTGTACTAATTGGTTCTTGGCAATTTCACTCATTCCCTTGAATTAAAAATTTACAGATGCAGCAATTTATGAGGGCATAATTTTTTGTTCACATGTTGTCCAAGTTCATTTTATGCCTAGAAAGTTGGTAGAATTATTTTTGGTGTTATTACAAAAACATTAAAACTCAGTCACCCCTCATATCTTAAAAGAGACTAGAAATGCTGCACCTTACTGTCCATTCGAAGACAGTCCCCTTCCCCACCCCTTACCTATGGAACAACAGCCCCCTTGTCAATCTTGGTCTCATCAGATATTCACCAAGTTTGTCACGTGTGATCGTCTACTCACCCCATATGCTTTTGGACTAGTCAGCAATTTGGAAATTGGATTACACCATTCTGGTAACGTGGTCGTGAGCGGTGGGCCAGAATGAGTCAAAATTGGTTTCAGATATCTGCAGAGTCTGTTAAGGAGTATTTTCCAAAATACAGCAATGGAATTTCACTAGTTCAATTTACAATAAAGAAAAACAAGACAAAACAAAAACAAAAAACCAAACCCCAAACCTTTGCATTCAAATCAAATCAAATCAACAAGCATTTATCAAGCACCTACTGTGTGCCGGGCATTGAGCTAAGCCCTGGGGATGCAAAGAAAGGCAAAACCAGTCCCAGCTTTCAGTGAAAGAAATGAGCATCATGCACAGCCATCACACCCATTAGCTCACTCATTCTGCCATCATAAAGCTCATAGTCATTTATCATTTTCTCTTGCAATTAAAAAAAAAAAAACTGAGGTCAAACCTTCCTGCTTGATGTTTGCTCCTGCCTTGTTGGTAACATTTCATAATCATGAGAAAAAAAGTGAATGAATTTGGATACTGTATTCAAAGAGAAATTGGAAAATGTCATAGTAAAGAGGACACTGATTATGGAGTCGAAAGACCAGAGTTTGCACTCTAGTTCAACTTACTGTCTGTGGGCCCATCAGGCTCTTAAAAGTCTCCCTTCCCTCATCTGTATAATGGGGATAATAATGCTTGAATTAGATTTTTGTGTGCAAAGCACTTCTTAAGAATTACATGATAATTTTGTTGTATATTTGAAAGGAATAGCAAGTTGTATATAGGACATTTGCAATTTCACATGCAATCATCTTTTTTATTGTACTATGTTATGGAAATGCTTGTTTTATTCCATAAATTAATAAAAATAAAAAATAAAAATTATACTATTTGCTTGAGAGAGTTACTTTAAACAATAATGGAGATAACCCGTGTTTTCTTAAAATTGTGCACAAGGCCTTACTCTATAGTCTTACAGAGGCTGAAATATTTCTGAATATGAAATACTGAATAATTTCATAGCTGGGGAGTGAACATAAGTTGTTTCTCCCAACTACTTTGTTTTCACTATTCAACATATTCACTTTATACTTCATATACGTCATACCTCAATGCATCTCTATCTAAAATTATGCAAATAACCCGGTAACAGACTTATCCTATTGTCTAACACCTGTCTGTCCTGTCTTTATGTTCCAGAGTGCTCTATCAAGTTCAAAGAAAAACCTGCTTATGGAGAGACATCATGTTTTGCTCTAATCTATCAATAACAATCCACCTGAGAAGCTCTGTGGCTGATTTCTCCTTAGCTGAGAGCAAAGTAGTGAAAGTATTTCACAATTAGAAAAACATGGAAAGACTTGGCGTGAAGAGAGAGGGAGACAGTTCAGAACTTAAAATGTAACAAAAAAATTAAATTAAAAAAAAGAAACTAGGTTTTAAGCTTTATGCTGTTTGCTGTGTTTGGGGAATATTCCACCTTATTGGCTTTTTGACTAGGTCTGATAAGTGAAGAAAGGGAGAGAGAAAACACTTAACCCAGGGTGGCTCCTCTTGCTCTTCCATCTACATTAGGTCTCCCACGGATGGGCTGATCTTTTAGTACCTTCTCCCTAGCTCACCCTGCCTACCTTGCTGCTGGACAAAGCTAGATTCTCATTCTCTTTTCGCATTCCTCTGGTCTGGAGTGGTTGTCCTACAGAAGAAGCAATAGTGGTGAGTGGCTTCCTGGTAATGGGCACAGAGGAGGTTCATATGGAGCCTGGAAGTATCTGGGACCTCACTCTGGCTGAAAGTTATTTTCTCATAGTTAAGTCTCCAAGCGGGAGGAGAATCACCTATACAAACTCGTGCCTGAGAGAGAGGGGCAAAGAAAATGCTTAATGAATCTCAGAGGGCCACAATCCAATCTGATTCAACAAATATTTATATAAGCTCCTATGTTCGAGACACAGTTCTAGGTGCTGGGAATGTCATTCTACTGAGAGGATCCTTTAAAAAACATCTCGCTCATTTTTAAGAGAAAGAGAACCCTAGAGTATTAGGGTTAGAAGGGACCTAAGGAATAAATCAATCCAGATCCCTCATTTTATGAGTAAGCTGAGGTCCAGAGAAGGAAGCTTACTTGTATAAGGTCATGGAATTAGTGAGAGAGCTGGGACTAAAGTCAGATCTCTTCATTCTACTATATCACACTGCCTCAATAAATGATGTTTTTTTTAAATCTTATATTCCCAACACCTGGAACAGTACCTTGTACAGAGTAAGTACTTATTAAGTGTTTGTTGAACTGAATCAAAATTAGGACCAACTCAAAGGTTGACACTAAGGGTCAACAAGAAGGATTGCAAATTCTCTGAGTTTCCATTACTACCTGGCAAGTATATCTACAAAGCTGAAAAATCCTTAATGAATTTCCATTAATTTTCATTACAGAATGTGATTAGCTTCCATTTATGAATGAAGGAACTTAGACCCAGAGATGTAATGATTGCAAATAATCTAGAGGTTCCCTTGGGTCCCTGTGCCATTCGCCCCTACCACTATCATCAAGAATAATTCCAGCCCTTGGTTGTACAAGATGGCACACCAGGCGTTACATAAAGGAAACCAGAAAACCAACTTCCTACCACCTAGAATTAGAATGTTATCTAGGGGTCATAGAGTCCAACACCCTCATTTTATAGACAAAGAAACAGAGGCTCACAGATGTAGAGGTGAGCTCAAGGTCATAAAGATAGGATCATGGCCAAGAATTGAACCCAGGCCAGCCTGGTGCTCTTTAGCTTGCCATCAAAGGTAGGCATACACATCTGGAGCTATTGGCAGATGCAAGAGAATGTTGCACCAACAGCTGAATGAACTTTAAAAGTATTTACATTATACATAGTTCAAGGGTGCAGACCCAGTGATGGACTATGCATCCCTAAGAACCAGTTTGCCAATTTGGGAGAGGTTACTGGGTGATGAATTTTTTCAGTCACCCTAACTCACACAGACCATGCACTAAGGGCTCATAATCTACATTGGTGGAAGGAGTAATGAAAATATTGATGTAAAAATACCAAGGCTAAACGCATTTTAAAGGAGTAGGATGGGGGAGGGTAAGCGCATGACTGGAGGCAGGTCAAGGAGACCAGTCATGAAAGTTTCATTCAGATGGAAGGAATTGATTTTTCTCTGAGTAACCTTTTCTGTAGATTTTTAAGCATTGGAGTTTTGAGAACTATTTAAACGAGAGAAGAAAGATGGCATTCATGGCTAAGAGTGAAGGGAAAGGGAGGCAAGTAGTTTAGGCCTATGATGAAGTTTCAGATTCAGGAAAGCAGTGAGTGATGAAGGCGGGTTTTGAATAAGAGCACCATTGAAAAATCACAGGGAGGGGAAGGAGTGATTGAAAGAGTTTTTGGTCAAGAGTTCTTTGTATGTTTGGTGATTGCTTGAGGAGACTGCCTGACACCCAACTGAACAAACCAGTGCTGATTGCTAACAACTGAAATGCTTAGTTGTAAAAAGTGGGGCAGTGGATAGAGTGCCCAGCCTGAAGTCAGGAAGACTCATCTTGCTCAGTACAAATCTAACCTCAGATGCTTATGGGCTCTGTCACTGTGGGCCAGTCACATAGCCCTGTTTGCCTCAGTTTCTCATCCATAAAATGAGCTGGAGAAGGAAATGGCAAGCCACTCTAGTATCTTTGCCAAGAGAACCCCAAATAGGGTCACAAAGAGGCACACACAACTGAAAATGACTTGAACAACAAAAGCAAAAAGCAACTGTGGAGCAGATGAGTTAGTTTGAAAGTTGTGTTCCCTGTAGGTCTAGGAACTAGACCTGGGGTTTTATAGATATAGAAAACTTCCTCTAGTAATACAGGTAGGCACCTTCTTTGTATCCTATAGTCTTAGCCTAGGGCATTGAAAGGTTCATCAATTTGTCCAGAGGTCACACAGCCAGTATGTCTCAGAGGTAAGATTTGAGCCTGGGTTTTCCCATGGGACTGGGAGATTTTGGGAGACAGGTTGTTGGCTACAGCATTTTTTCATGACAGATTTTTTGTTTTTTGAGGGGATGGTGGCACTGAGAGGGCACAGAGGTCTGTATTCCCACTTGAGATCCAGAAAGTATAGATATTGAATGACCTGGAAGGTTTATACTACATTTTTCTTCCTGTCTTAAGCACAACCTTATTCCGTGGGCTTTATATGTAAACTGATCTTCCTGTTTTCGGAGAAGAGAGGCTTGAGGAATGCCTCTGTATACTCTAATTTATTAAAAAGAATAAAGAATTTCTAGATAAGATGGAGGAAATAATCCAAGAGGTAAGCCAAGGAGGGAAATGTGTTCTGGGGAAACTGAAGGAAACCACAACCAGTATAGAGACTGGTGAGTGGAAGAATGTGTCATAATAAAAAAAAGAAATAAACTCAGAGCTGCTGGAGCTATGTAATTGATTCTGATAAAAGCTGAGCCTGGATTTCTGAAGAAATAGGAGCATCTAAGTTCTATGGAAAAATGAGCAGATTTTTTAGGTACTAGCATATAGGAGGAAACTCACTTTTGGTCCCAGGAGGATGAACCAGTGGCTGATTGATCCCTGATTAGAGGCACTGATGAGGGTCGAATGAAGACCTGACATGGATAACCAGGAAGAGGCACAGTCTTCTTGGTGACAAAGAGTTTGTGAAGACTTACTAAGAACGGTGTTTCAGGTAGAACAGATCTCTGGTGATTTTCAGGTCCTGCATGATAAGGAGAAGGACCTGGGAGCACAAGTGATTTTTTTCATTTTTTTTTTTTACTAATTAAAGATTGTACCTTTGGAAGGGAAAGGAAGATGGGAAGTGCACAGCTGGCTGTACAGATGGCACTGATGAATTTTTGTTTTTTTGGACTGTGGCTTAAGATTCTAGAATGATGGGGTCCTGGTAAGGGAAGGAGTTCACCTCATGAGGCCTGGGAAGAATGTATTTGGCAGGAAGCTTGTTGAACTAATCATGAAAACCTTAAATTGAAGTTTGAGAAGGAAGGAAAATGCTCAGATAAATCTATAAAAATGGATGCTACATGGAGGATGATAGCAATTAAGACATAAAGTAATAGGGGCTTACATGTTTATAACTCCTTACAAAGTATTTCCATATCTCATGTGATGCTCATGACAGTAATGTGAAGTACAAAACATTATTATCCCCATTTTACAGATGAGCAAACTGAGGTAGAGAGAGATGAAGGGATTTGCCTGTGGTTTCCAGAGTATATTACAGACTTGATCCAAATAGATCAAGATGATTAACAATGAAAGGTAAATGCACTGCTTGAGTCAACTGGGGTATAATATTGTTATTGGAAAAAAAATAGAACTACTCTGCTGTTTGCTTCAGTTTTCCCTTAAAGGAGCAGGATTTTCAAACTGAAAAAAGGTGGAATGACTACAGCTGAGAGGGAATTGAAACCTGGGACAGATGAGGAGAGAATAAGAGAGCTCCTAGTTAATGTAAATGAGTTCAAATCTATGCACTCATATGAATTACATTCCACAGGACTGAAAGAACTTGTAGATATGTGTGTCAAACCATTGTTGAAAATCTTTGAAACATCATGAAAAATAAGAGAGATGCTAGAAGACCAGAGGTAGGCAAATCTTTTATCATATATCAATTTCAGGGAAGGTAAAAATAAGAGGCCCCCAAACATGGGCAAGCTTTGAAATTGATCCCTGACAAAATTCTAGAATGTATTATTAGATCATTTGTAAGTACTTGGAGAAACAACAAACACCAGGAACTAGCATGAGCTAGAAACACGTCAGGCCAAACTGACTTCTTTTCCTTATTTTTGAAAAGTTTGATTGACTAGTGGTTTAAGGAGAATGCCATAGCTGGGGATATCAACCAGTCTTTTGTCACATCTTTGTGTAAATCAGATTGAAAGATGTGAGGTTGTGTAACAACAATGGGTAAGTAGCTGTGTAGCGGATGGGAGGACCATGCTCAAAGAATGTTGGTTAAGAGATAGAGATACACCCCTAGACACATTTTTTTTCCTAGTACTACCTGCTCATTCTCTCATACGCCCTGAAGGGATGGCCCAGGAAGTGGAATAGGTGTACCCTCTTACTTCTCACTGTCCTCAACACTCAGTTATCCCTAGAAATCTGCTCAACTCTCCCATCTTTAAACAAATAAACATCCCTCACTTTACCCTGGCACTTACTCGAGCTTTTACCTTCCATCTCATCTTCTTTTCAAAACCAGACTCCTAGGAAGAATTCATCTGCAACCCTATTTCCTTACCACTCAGCCACTTCTCAATCTCTTACAATCTCACCGCTCAACTGAAACAACTCACTAAAGGTCACCAACACTTTCTTAACTTTTAAATCTCATGAACTTTCTCAGGATTCGTTATGTCTGACTTCTCTGCTGTTTGCAACACTTCTGAACTTCCTGGCCACCCTTTCTTACTTTCTATCAAATTTTACTGTCCTGGTTCTCCTCCTACTTCTGATACATCTCCCACCCTTGAAGTTTGACGGTCTTCCAAGGGTCTGTCCAGGGCCCTCTACTTTCTCAACATTTTCTCCCTGTTGGGTTCAGTTATTAAGCATAAAGGAAGTTAGGTGGACAGAAAACTGGATTTGAGATCAGGAAAACTTAAGCTTAAATCCTGTTTCTTATACTTATTAGTTGTGTCACCCTTGGAATGTCACTTAACCTCTCTCAGTCTCAGTTTCCTCATCTGTAAAATGGGGATAATAATAGCACCTATTGTTATTGTCAGGATTAAATGAGATAATGTATATAAACCATTTTGCAAACCTTAAAGTGCCACAGAAATGCCATCTAATATGTGATCACTAAATCTCTAAATCCATTCCTCATGTCCCTCTTTGAACTATAGTCTTGCATTATCAACCGCTTGCTAGACACCTGGATATCCCATAGACATCATCAATCCATCCATATATTCTTTCATTCATTCCCTCATTCAGGCATTCATTCAACATGAATTTATTAATGCACATAATAATACATCTCAAATTCAATGTGTGCAAAATGGAACTCATGTTATCTTCCTGTAACACAAACCTTCCTTCAAGCATCTCTATTTCTCTGTTGAGGTACCACCACCCTTTCAGTTGCCCAGATTCACAACCTTGGAGTCATCATTCACTTCTTCCTCTCCCTCATGCCCATCTCCAATCAGATTCCAAGTTTTGTTGATCTTACTTCTACCACATCTATCCTCTACATAGCTGCCAAACTGATATTACTGAAGGACACCCCCACTTCCTTCAAAAATCTTAGTGAATCTGTATTACTTCTGGGTTAAAATATGAACACGTCAGCCTGACATATCAAATTTTCTCTAATGTGTCCCCCATCTACTTTTTCAGTCATATTTCAGATTATTACCCTTTCCATTCTTTCTGTTCTAGTTAAATTCTCCTGCTAGCTCTTCTCCATACAAGACATTCTACTGCATTTCTTCTTTGCCTGTGAAAAAGTGGTCCCCATTTCTGGAGTGTACCCTCTTTATTTCTGCCTTGGAGAATCCTGAGTCTCTTTCAAGGCACAACTCAGGCTCCTTGTATATGATGCCATTGCTAATCTTGCCAATTATTAGTACTTCTTCCTTGCTATTACTTGGCAGTAGCTTTTATAGCTTTTTTTACTCACTTACTTGTGACTATGTTATATCCCTCCCAGTGGAATGTAAGCTCCTTGAGGGAAGGAACTGTTTCATCTTTGCCTTTGTAGTCCCAGCCCCAAGGGTAGCTAGGTGGTGCAGTGGATAGAGCTCTGGACCTAGAGTCAGGAAGACTTGAGTTCAAATTTGGCCTTAGACATTTATTACCAGCTATGTGACTCTGGGTAAGTCGCTTAACCCTGTTTGCCTCAGTTTCCTCTTCTATAAAATGAGAAGGAAATGGCAAATTGCTCCTGTGTCTTTGCCAAGAAAATCCTAAATGGGGTCACTCATGCACAAAGAGCATGAGTGAAACAACTAAACAAAAACAACCACACCCAGCACCAAGCGTAGTACCTGGCACATAGTAGACAGATAAATATTTGTTGAATTAAATGTAAACTGAATTGGGGAGAATAGGAAATAGTGGGTCCCTAAGGATTCCTGCCAAAATTGAAATGAAAATGCTTTTGACCTAGAAATACAACTACAACCTTGCAAAATAAATGTTTTTCTCATTAGATTCAATTACATCCTTGGTTAGGGAGGGGGAAATCTCCAACTGGGGTGCCTTCTTGAAGCTTTACTTCCTCCTCTTCCTTTATCTCTCAGCTTGGGAAATACACATAGGAATAAAATTAAAGATGGTGTCAGGGGAAAAAATGTCAGTGATTTTTCTACTAGACTTGAAAAAGGGTAAGATTCAGCCTGGCTCGGGAGATGGAGATGGAGGTAGAAATGCTTTCCAGAGTCCAACTGCTGTGTTTCTATGAAAGACAACTGATTGGCATTCCAAATTCTGCTTGTATCAAAACAAAGAAGGTACAACTGAGTGGAATGTCTCCCTCTGGGACAGTTTCCTACAAGAGAAACTTACAGACAGAAATCCCAACCAGCTCTAAAATGGAAGCCTCAAGCAGAATCCTGTGTCATGATGGAAAGAACAACAGACAACAGTCAGGGTATCTGGATTCTACTTCTGCACCCATCATTAGTGAGATCCCAATTGGATCCTGTATGAGTCTTCTAACTTGTCTAAGCCTTGGTTTTCTCTCCTGTAAAGGGAAGAGTTTGGAAGGGGAGGAGTGATCTCTTAGGTTACTCTCAGCTTTAACATCCTATAAATCCCTTGTAATATCCATTTGCTGGGAGTCTTCTCTCTCACCCATGTCATCATTTCATTTCCGCTCTCTTAACCTACCTAAAGAAGCTGATGGAAAATCTAGTGAGAATCATCCATCCATCAATCCATCCATCCATCCATCCATCCATCCATCCATCCATCCATCCATCCATC